TGTGCGTGCGTGCGTGCGTGTGTGTGTGTGTGTGTGTGTGTGTGTGTGTGTGTGTGTGTGTGTGTGGGCGTACTCATGTGTCTGTACGTGTGTGTGGGCGTGCTCGTGTATCTGTAAGTGTGAATGTACTGGCGAGGAGAGAGCACGCGCCCGAGTACGTGTGAGTAAACAAACAGTTTTTTATTTCATTAATTTGACCTCGGGTGGGTGCAATCTACAGCTAATCTATAATTAACTCTCCAGAGATCGGAGGAAGGCCACTGCAAGAATGGCGACACGGTGATGACATTAGCGCGTTGTTGGACCGCAGGGGGCATGCCACTAATCTTGTTTGCGTCAGAAACATTTTATCAACATGTTTGTGTAGCAAGAATAGCTTATAGCTAGACTTAATTCCTGGACTGCGCACTTTCATTGCCACTGCTCTTTTCTCTCTTAGAAAAACTCCGCAGCGAAGCGTATGCACCATGGTCTGCATTATTACTAAAGATTGTTCTTAACAAAATACAATGTAGTTCACGTACTGGCCGAAAAAGTGTCCGCGGAATTCCGCGCATTGGTTCAGATGGCCCTGCAGTCTTTGTTTTTGAAGCTGTCTTTCGTTTCTCCAGAAGAAGAAGAAGAAAAGCACAGTTCGTTAGTTTCACTTTATTTGTTTTTCGCTCAAGTAGAGGGCGCCACCAAATTTTGAGGACACTTTTTTAATTGGCTCAAATAGAGGAGTGAACCATCTTGTTATGTACAATCTTTGCTATTACTCTGTAGTCGATTGCGCAAGGCACATTTGTTTACCCCATCGCCCTTCGTTTGGTGCAAATTTAGCCAAACCATGCCCACTATAGTGAACCGGAAGTGCCTTTTAAATAACCTAATGGAGTTGATTAAATAAATCAATACTCTTGATAGGGGCGTTAAAGTTTCACCAATTTTGGCATTGACCTTACATTCGTCTAGGCTGAGACAAGTGGGTGGTTGTCGGGTGCTCTTGTGTGGTTTGCTTCTTCTTTCCTATCAAACATCTATCGTCTTTATCTCTCCTCCTTTTCCTTTTTGTGTTTGTTACTCTCTTGTAACACCTCTAATCTTCGGCACTTATATGACCTTATTCTGTTGCAAGTGCCGAAAACACTTACTAAAACTAATAAACTAGGCTGAGACAAACAGCTTGTTGGTGCACGGTCGTGCACTCTGAATTCGGGGCTGCAGCATCCACGTATTGTGTGACGTAGGCAAAGATCGACAAAATAAATAATTGATTGTGAAGGTCAAGGTCAAGGTAAAGGTCGACTCATAATTTGTCGCTTATATGTTCAAAAATGCTGTTTTGAGAAAATTGAAGGTAGATCTAAAGTGTTTACCACTCGTTTAGGTTCTTTATAAGACAATGGCAGTTTTCTCTTTAACCAAACAAATATACACACCAATGAAACCAAACTTCTCCTATAGGAAGGGCAATGCCCACTTTTGGTGTAGGTCATGATTTCTGGAAACTCCCGAAATCTGGGTAAGTCCGCTTGTCCTTTAAAGCGACCAGTTTGCATGCCCTCGCGGCTCCAGACTTAGAAGTAGACTAAGCTAACGATTTCTCATAATATGCAACCCCCCCCCCCCTTTCCATCCTCACCCCCACCCCGACATACACTTTCCTCTCTTTCCCACGCGGCTCAACCTCAAGGTGAGACTAAATCTAGTTTTTAGACCTACCCCACGACTGTGTTTTCCCCGCTCATTTCAAAACGTGATATTGCTACTGACAAGATTATAATACTTTTGAGTCTATTTCTGTTTTCAAGTTGTCTTTTTTCTACGTGAGATCGAGTGGCTTTTCATCCGTTTACACATCGATTACAATCCCAGCGACCTCATTCCGGTCATGACAAGCCTCAGCCCCTGAACAATTCACCTTTTTAAAGTTTAGGTATAACAACCC